ACAAATTATGATAAAAAAAAAAGAAAAAATTAATTAATTAAAAATGTTTATTCTGCCTAATTTTCTGCCCTTGATGTAATACATTTACATTAATAATTGAATAAAGTAAACACCCTTTGCACCCCGGGCTAGCAACATTTGCCCTGTACGATGTGCGCTGTAAGTGATGAAAGTGGGGGACTTTGACTTATCAGGCGCCCGCAGCTCACAGCCAAAGTGCGAGCGAGCCTCCGAGCGAGCAAGAGAGAGAGAGGGCGCGCATGCATCGGTACAGCGGATTGTTGTTGGATTGAGGCTGATAACTACAGCTCAGTGAGGTAAAGGACTCTGAGGGTTTAGATAGTTCACTTTAGTCTAAGTTATCTCAGTGAGTCTCAAACGGTTTGGTCACAATTTAAGCACACCTTTATAATTATTAGGATAAATAAAAACAGGTTTGAAATCATTCCATATACTATAGACAGTAAACCAAAAATATCGTTTAAAACTGTAGATATTAAAAAATATGCATGAATAAATAAATGTTAACTAGGTAAAATAAGATATGAATGAACAACAAAAAATAAAATAAGTTACATTTATTTGTTATTGGCTATGGGTTATTGGTTATGTTCACATACTTATTTGATTATTAAAATGTAAACCGCTCTTTTTCAAATGGGTGTTTAGAGTTGTACCCCCTAGATCTAGTCTCTAGTCATTCTGTTCAAAGTGCACCAGATTGAAGCATTTTACTTTAAAATGTTAAAACAAATCTTTCCGGGGGGGGCATACCCCCGGACCCCCCAAGAGGATGTGACGTCCACCCGCCAATTAAAACATGTTCATACAATAATTAATACATTTTAAACCTTTTTGATGTATATAACCAATATGTCAATACGTTTCAGTTTTTGTGGTGTATTGGTCTTTTGTAGAGATTTTTCATTTATTCTTTATATATTCTATTGTGTATTGCTTGCAGGGGGGGGGGGGGGACCAAATCATAATCTCGCCTAGGGCACCAAAATGTCTAGGGCCGGCCCTGCATGGTTTTATGTGGTCTAGATGCGAAAAAAGCACTGAAATCTCCCTTTTTAAAATGTTCACAAATAGAATTAAGGTTTCACAAATCTCAAACTGTGTTATAAAGAATGTTTAGACTCTCTGGGATAATCCAGTCCAAATAAATCGGCTATGCAGCGATTTAAGAGGTTCAAACACGGAGGATTGTTCGCTCAGCGCTGTAAATGAAATGTCCCTTAACTTTCCCCTTAACTGCCAAATCGGAAACTCTGAATCGGAAGCCAACTTCAGCGTTCTCAGGAACGCTGTGATCCGAAGAGGGTTACTTCCTCTTTCTATCCATCACTAATGTCACTCTGTTATCACAATGCTATTCTAATCCAAGCACCTTTCAAATTGCAGCTTAATAAAATGTTTTAAAGAGGATCTATATTCCTGTCTGCAGTCCTAAGGCAACTTTCTAATTTTAACAAAGTCTTCAATGTTATTACCTAATTTGATAAACAGTCATATGATCATAATTACACAAATACTTTTGTTTTATATTTTTGTAAATGTGGTCATATGACTGTATTTTAAGCTCTTAAAGAAACTATTTGGGCTGGGTGGCGCTCTATAGCTTAGGGCCAATAGGAGACCTCGATGCCTTCTTTCCCCTCCTCCTCATTAGCATTCTGTGCAACTAGTGTGACTAGTGCACATTTGGGATCCACTAGTACTACTAGTGAACATTTTGAGCCTCACTAGTTCACTGGTGGAATTTAAACGTATCTCACTAGTTAACTAGTAAAGGGCAAAGGGTTCACTAGTTAACGTGTAGACATTTTGAGCCCCACTAGTTAACTAGTAAGGTCAAAAGAGGCGTCAACTAGTTAACTAGTGAACCTTTTGCCTTTACTAGTTAACTAGTGAGTGATTCTGGGTGCCACTAGTTAACTAGTGCAGACAAATGTATGCCACTAGTTAACTAGTTGTGCTTCTTTTGTGTAACTAGTTAACATGTCAGAGCTTTTGCAGCGCACTAGTTAACTTGTAAGACTTTTAGCGTCACTAGTACGGTCAGAGAGCCACTAGTTCATCAACAAGCTTACAAGTTGGGACTTTGGCTCTACTAGTGCTGCTCCTGGCGTCACTAGTAAGGCTCATGTGCTAACTAGTCGGACAAAAGTGCCACTAGTTGCTGAAAAAGAGTGACTAGTGTAATGTTTTATTTAACTAGTAAAGCAGAGTGCCAAACTAGTTTGACCATATGTCTAACAAGTGAAATCAAAGAGCCAACTAGTGCAGGCAGCTGCCGTCTGACATCAAGGATATGGAATAAATACTCAAATGGCTTGCCATACGTCACTAGTACGGTCAGAGAGCCACTAGTTCATCAAAAAGCTTACAAGTTGGGACTTTGGTGCTACTAGTGCTGCTCCTGGCGTCACTAGTAAGGCTTATGTGCTAACTAGTCGGACAAAAGTTCCACTAGTTGCTGAAAAAGAGTGACTAGTGTAATGTTTTATTTGACTAGTAAAGCAGTGTGCCAAACTAGTTTGACCATATATCTAACAAGTGAAATCAAAGAGCCAACTAGTGTAGGCAGCTGCCGTCTGACATCAAGGAAATGGAATAAATACTCAAATGGCTTGCCATATTGAACTAGAGAGAAGAAAACCACAACTAGTGGGCTGAAAATATCCACTAGTTTAGGAAAAAGCCATACATGTCGAATCAACATCTAACTAGTTGCATACAGTTGCTCACTAGTGCACAAAAAGCCAAACTAGTTGAAGGAAAGGCCTTACATGTAAGAAAATGTGTAACATGTAAGGTCAAAGTCTAACATGTTCATAACAGAACCTGACTAGTGAGAAAAAATGCCCTCCACTAGTTAACTAGTAAGAAAAACATCTGTGTCACTAGTTTACTAGTGACTCCTCTAAGGCTCCACTAGTTAACTAGTGAGATTAAGTGTGTGTAACTAGTTAACTAGTAAGGTAAAATCAATTGTACTAGTGCATCTAGTGGACAATTTGGACCTCACTAGTTAACTAGTGCACATGTTGAGCCTCACTAGTCAGCTTGTAAGACCAAAACAGGCTTCAACTAGTTAACTAGTGAACATTTTGCCTTCACTAGTTAACGTGTAAGCTGCAATATGCATCCACTAGTTAACTAGTTGTCGTTCATATGACCAACACGTTAACTAGTCAGCCATATGCAAATGAAGCAGGAGGGACCCAGATTCTGATTGGTCAGTTCAGCTCTGTGAAGGAGAGCCTTAGGGGGCGTTCTCCTGCAACGTTTTTAGCAACGTCTGGAAGACGTGAGGTATCAGTCGGGTATTTAGTGCCTACTGTTAACATATTGTCCGTGGGAAGTCAGTCAGTGTGTGTTTTTGCCTAGAAAAATACATGTTTCTGTTTCTGCTTTGTTCCGCTTTGTGTGTGTGTTTTTGTTGGTGCGAGTGTGCGTATGCTTGTGTGTGAGAACACCGGCACTCGAGACACAAAAGTATATGATCGTGGGACATTTTATAAGCGGTGCTGATGAAATGAATAAAGCAGAAACACTGGACAGATCTTAAAATCAGGATAACGATAGATCCGTATGATAAACAACCTCTCCATATTTTGCCTTAGACTAATATTTACGGAAGTCACGGCGATCTCTCAAAGCTGTGATCCGAGGAGGGTAACTTCCTCTTTCTATCCATCACTAATGTCACTCTGTTATCACAATGCTATTCTAATCCAAGCACCTTTCAAATTGCAGCTTAACAAAATGTTTTAAAGAGGATCTATATTCCTGTCCGCAGTCCTAAGGCAACTTTCTAATTTTAACAAAGTCTTCAATGTTCTTACCTAATTTGATAAACAGTCATATGATCATAATTACACAAATACTTTTGTTTTATATTTTTGTAAATATGGTCACATGACTGTATTTTAAAACACAGTGTATTTTAAGCTCTTAAAGAAACTATTTGGGCTGGGTGGCGCTCTATAGCTTAGGGCCAATAGGAGACCTCGATGCCTTCTTTCCCCTCCTCCTCATTAGCATTCTGTGCAACTAGTGCGACTAGTGCACATTTGGGATCCACTAGTACTACTAGTGAACATTTTAAGCCTCACTAGTTCACTAGTGGAATTTAAATGTATCTCACTAGTTAACTAGTAAAGGGCAAAGGGTTCACTAGTTAACGTGTAGACATTTTGAGCCCCACTAGTTAACTAGTAAGGTCAAAAGAGGCGTCAACTAGTTAACTAGTCAACCTTTTGCCTTTACTAGTTAACTAGTGAGCGATTCTGGGTGCAACTAGTTAACTAGTGCAGACAAATGTATGCCACTAGTTAACTAGTTGTGCTTCTTTTGTGTAACTAGTTAACATGTCAGAGCTTTTGCAGCGCACTAGTTAACTTGTAAGACTTTTAGCGTCACTAGTACGGTCAGAGGGTCACTAGTTCATCAAAAAGCTTACAAGTTGGGACTTTGGCTCTACTAGTGCTGCTCCTGGCGTCACTAGTAAGGCTTATGTGCTAACTAGTCGGACAAAAGTGCCACTAGTTGCTGAAAAAGAGTGACTAGTGTAATGTTTTATTTAACTAGTAAAGCAGAGTCCCAAACTAGTTTGACCATATATCTAACAAGTGAAATCAAAGAGCCAACTAGTGCAGGCAGCTGCCGTCTGACATCAAGGATATGGAATAAATACTCAAATGGCTTGCTAAACACCCCTGTTTCCTCCACTACGGTCTGGGAGGCGACAGGAAAGTTTAACACTTGGTTAAAATACATCAAATCAGTCAGACTTCAGACAGGCCGTTCTCCATTTTGACTGCGCTGGGCTGTCACATGTTATGTTGCTTTGATGAATCAGAAAACAGGAAATAAAAAAAGTTTACAACACTTGTAGAAGTCTCTTTGGACTCTAGGACGCTGATGTTCTGACATCCAGTAAAACAGAGTAAATAATGTGTTAGAAAGCAGAGCCTGGTGTTAACACTCACCCTGTTGTCCTCCTGCTCCGTGGAGGTGTAAAATGGCGTCTGACACTCTGACAAGTCTGACTTCTTCTTTTCACTCTCAACCTCCCTTCCTGTCTGCAGCTTCTCCTCTTGATTCATAACCAGCCTTATCAGCTGAACCAGTTCACATACAGGGACTATGTTCAGTGAGATAGAAATAGAGCTAAACACAAGCTCAACAAAGTTATTGAAATAAATGTATTAAAACCACAGTGTGAAAATGACCCAGTAAACATCCTGCATTCAAAACCTCACTTAAAGGTGGGGTAGGTAAGTTTGAGAAACCAGCTCGAGATACACTTTTTGTTATATTACATGGAATGCTCTTAACATCCCGATAGCAATGAATATCTGAAGTGCTTTGACAAAAAATCCATAAAAAAATGTCATCTGTGGAAGCCGTAATACTGTAAAAAGCACGACCAATCATTTGAGCCGGCCCGGCTAAAGTAACTGGATGGCCTACCTGCCTGTCAGCCTTCCATCTGTGCACAAACTTATCTCGTGCCCTCATTGGTCATGTGCGCGTTCGTGTGTGTTGGAGGAGGGGCTCTGTAAGGAAGTGGCAGATTTTCTCCGGCTGTGGATTTTCAAATTCTAGCGATCTCGAGCCGGTTTCTCCAAAATTACCTACCCTACCTTTAAGTTAAAGTGTGTAGGTGTTAAAGTACTCTAGTGTTAACGGTGCATAAGATTGTTCCCTATTATATATATATATTTGTTTCTGAATTAATAACCTTGCTGCATTGATTGCATATATTACTGTATGTTCCCAGAATACAGAATGTGTGCCTCTGCATGTTGAGGTTACAACCACATTAACATTTACTCTTCAAAATTAACTTAAGATGAACACAACTGTGTTTAAATTATAGTTAGATCAAGAGGTTAATAGACCTTTTTTAAATGGATTTCTAATGATTTCAACCCACCATTGAGCACTGTTAAAAAGCAACAAATGAAACATCAGATAAAAAGAGAACCATTGATGTCTGAGCTGGACTGATCCATTTTTTGAAGGCTTCATATTTCTCAATTATACTGTACACAGAAAACAAAAAAAAAGGCTTAATTTAATCCAATGTCTAAATGTCCTCCAATTCTGGAATCATCAAAATAAAAAGTGAGTCAAGCTCCAGCAAGAGGACAATATTTAAATGTTATCAGATTCACCAGCTAGCTAGCAGTTAGCATGAATTAGCATTGCTAGTGTAACCCTTTATGCAGCCTTACCCTGCTGGTAGGCGATCTGTAATGATAATGATAAGTTTCCAACAACAGAGACAGTTGTCACCTTTTAGTGTCCTCTGGTCTCCCAGCTGTGTGCGTCACTCTTTAGTGTCCCCTGGTCTCCCAGCTGTGTGCGTCACTCTTTAGTGTCCCCTGGTCTCCCAGCTGTGTGCGTCACTCTTTAGTGTCCCCTGGTCTCCCAGCTGTGTGCGTCACTCTTTAGTGTCCCCTGGTCTCCCAGCTGTGTGCGTCACTCTTTAGTGTCCCCTGGTCTCCCAGCTGTGTGCGTCACTCTTTAGTGTCCCCTGGGCCATTTCTCATGTCTTCAAATGTTCCTCCTCGACTCCTCGATTCCTCGGTCCTCCGGTAGTGACCCGGAAATGAATTTTAGCGCGCCATGTTGAAGGACATCTCATTTCTCGAAATGCACATCGAGGACCGAGCATCGAGCGTCGAGGAGGCTCTCTGGAGGAGCTATAACCGAGGATACACTGATGGGTCCTCCACGGCTCCTCCGTGGATGCATTTCCGGGAACAGAGATGTTTCAAAGAGTCGTGACTTATCTCAGCCAATGACAGCTCTGCATGCATCCCCTGGATATTATTTTATTAACTGCTTTCATCGCGACGCGATGTTTACAGTGAGAACAGCTGTGAGGTCCGTGCAGAAAGCAGAGCAGTGTGTATAATATATATCATATCACTCAGTATAACAGGCCTACTCTCTTTATTTGCTTTAGTTTAGTAGATATCTACAAACAAAGTCGATATTTTTCTAAAACCATTTAGTGCTTCACATAATAAAATACACAACGGCTGTAGCCTGATTATATGCTTTAGGAGCTGTAGGTGCGTGTGTGTGGTGTAGGTGTGTGTGTGTGTGTGTGTGGTGCAGTAGTGATGTGTCGGTCGCGAACGAGCCGTTTTTTTGTTTTTGTTATTTTTTGTTAAGTAATACAAGACAGAATGATATGATGATCTCCGCGCTACAGCTGCTCCGTGCATGCATGCAGTGGCATGTCATATCCAAGGATTAGAGACTGTTGGATGCTGCTGTTTTGAGCATTGCAATACATTTATTTGTATTATGTTTTTTTATGATTAGAGACGGTTGGATGCTGCTGTACTGAGCATTGCAATATATTTATTTTCACTATGTTATTTATTTATGATTATCCTTGGGCTCAGCAAAGATTTGATGTCAGCTGTTGCTGTCTTTTTTTCTATAGTTAATACTGAAATAGAGCCCTGCTGTTTTGTCAGGGCCTTTTCTTTAAATATAATTTTAAAATGTCGATACAGTAGCCCCTTTTTTTTTAAATGTCTATGCTTAAGTTTTTATAGGTGTTGCTATCTGCTTTGTGTAGCGTGGTTCTACAAGCAAGTCTGTGCATTCATTGGGTGGTATCAGAGAGATACAAGGGTCTGTAAATGCAATGAAAACAATTGGCCACATGCAGCAAATAATTGATATTAAACATGTAATTTTTACTTTTGAATACTTCAGTACAAAGGATGTATTGAATAATTTAAGTGATATGTGTACACATATAAATCATTAGTCAAAACAGGGCTACATTTGATTGAATTATAAAAGGTATAATATGTGGTAAACTGAAGAGCCGTTTGGGAGCCGAAAGAGCCGGCTCTTCTTGGTGAGCCGAGCCAAATGATCCGGCTCACCAAGAAGAGCCGGAATTCCCATCACTATGGTGCAGTGTGTGCGTAGATGCAGCGGACAGACAGGTCTCAGTTGGTTTGGTGTCCTCTGCTTACTTGTAAATAAAACTTTTGGCCCGTCATTTATTTCCCTAATTGTAGCGACCAGAGAGGGGGGGGGGGGGGGAAATATATCCAGTCTCTGATAGTGTTACGTTATTATGAGAGTGCTCTGTTTGATTCTGAAATTGTATATATTTATATAAATATATACATATATGTGTGTGTGTGTGTCTGTGTGTATGTCCGCATCTGTAGCCTGTTATTGTCTCATCATTATACCGCACTGTGAATGAATTAAAAGTAAATATATAAGTCGTCATGAACACATCTGTCCATCAGACAGAGGGCTGCTGTGCCTCCTGTCATCATTAATGGACGTCTCTTTAAAATGACCGCTCAGAGGAGAGGTGTTCTCATTTCTCTAACCACCTGCTGCTTCCCCTCCTCTCTCCTCGGTTCCCCTCCTCGGCTCCTCCGCTCGCATCTCCTGTGGGCGGGACTAAGTCTCGAGGATAGGAGTCGAGGAGGGGAGTCGAGGAGGGACATTTGAAGACATGAGAAAGGGCCCAGGGGACACTAAAAAGTGACGCACACAGATGGGAGACCAGGGGACAATAAAGAGTGACGCACACAGCTGGGAGACCAGGGGACACTAAAAAGTGACGCACACAGCTGGGAGACCAGGGGACACTAAAAAGTGCGCTTGGTGACGTTCAGGATTATAAAGCTGAACAACTGTCTCTGTCTCAGAGTCAGTCTGTCTCATAACTGTCAGTGTTTGTCAGAATATCTGAAATGATTAGGTTAGCTACGTTAGCTAGCTAGCTTACAGCAGATCTGTAGTAACATCAAAAGGAGTCATGTGATCACATTGTTCAAATAAGACCATAAAACATTTCAGGTAAGTTTCCAACAACAGAGACAGTTGTCACTTTTTAGTGTCCCCTGGTCTCCCAGCTGTGTGCGTCACTCTTTAGTGTCCAAACTGCAGAGCGTTCCTCCTGATGGAAATGTTTTGGGCCGTAGTAGCGCGTTCGCTCCCGTCGGCCACCGTACTTTAAGCTTCTATTTTGACAATAAACTTGATCTAACTTGAGATTAAAAATGCAGCAGAAGCACCGGTTAAAACAGAGAAATGGGAGGAAACACCACACACTCTCAGAGTATTAAAGCACATTAAAGTGTCAACACCACACACACACACACACACACACACACACACACACACACACACACACACACACACACACACACACACACACACACACACACACACACACACACACACACACACACACACACACACACACACACACACACACACACACACACACACACACACACACACACACACACACACACACACACACACACACACACACACACACACACAGTATGAAAGTAACATTATAAAAACTGATTAGTTTACAGTTGTGGCTTCGTGGGCAATAGTCAAGTTTCTGTCAGAAATCATTCCCTCTGGACCCCCGACGGTGTGGCACATTTATTTTTATGCTGCTCAATAAAAATATGAAAGCCGAACGAGAGGAAATTAATGCAGATTTTCTGTGATTTTCAATAAGAAATATAAAAATTGTGATTGTCCCCAAACATGGCTGCAGAGTCATGGATGGAAAATTCATTTTTGGTGTTAATTAGACGACAAATTCTGATTAATAAAGGGTTGTTTTTCAGTCTACAGCATCCTATTTAGGTTTTACAAGCTGCCAATGTAGCACAACTACCACGTGAATATAAAATAAATGAGAATTTTTCAAAACATCCATGGTGGTTATTCAAATATCAGCGTAAAGTGACAATTATGCGACTAAAATCAATGTGACTCAATGCACTGCCACTTTGATCATTCAGAGGGATTTTCCTATAAAACCACTTGTATAAAAGTTCAAATATTATTAAATATGAAATGTTATTATCATCACTCTATATGATAAAAGGACCATGCAGTTTGACTTCACAGGAGTTGTGTACACATATCTTAAAATACGATAGAAACTTGTTATTAGAACTCTTTTATGTGTAATTTCTCTTCATTTTTCTTAAAAAGTTCAGGTAACACTTTAGATTAAGGTACACATATTCACCATCAACTAGTTGTTCATTTACACATTAGAGTCAAACTACTAGCTTATTGGTTATGAACAAGACTTCACTTTAAAATAGGGAACTTATTCTGAGTTAGAA